GCAAATTGAGTAGGAGTTAAAATGCCTGTTTTTTAAATAGAAAAGTGAAACTTAGAAAAATTATATAATTTTTTCCTAAAAACATATAACAAGTGATTAAGCCAGAATTAGAACTTAGATTTTTAAAATTTTCTGTCTTACATCTAGTACTTTTAATTAAAAACTTCGAAAGCAAGGTTAGTATAAGAGATTTTAAAATACAAATAACTCTGAAAATTGAACCCTAAGGAAATCAGAGTTGAATGGTCATGTAAAGTCTATGTAAATATTTCTTAATGAGAGAAACCATAGAAAACCAAGTGAATTTGTGAATCAGTTTATCAGACTGCTGCAGCCATGTAACCTTTTTGTCATTGCTTGGATCTGCCAGGCCTACTTCTACCTCAGGTCCTTTGTTCACTAACTGTTCTTTCTGTCTCCAACACTTTCCTGAGATACACACGTAACTGTCTGATACCTCCTTCAAGGCGGTTCAAGTTTCAGTTTAATAATAATATCTTTAAATTTCAATTTAATAATATCTTTGTAATAAAGCCTACCTACCATATATGAAATTGCTCACCCTGCAACAGTCTCATTTCACTTATCATTCTCTACTTTTTCTATTTCTAGTAGTATTTGTCTTATAATGTACTGATTACATTTATTGATTTTTATCTTCCTCCCTCCTCACTGGTATGAAAGCTCCTTGTGGGAGGGATTTTAATTTTTTTGTTTTGTTCATTGATATCTTGACTTTGAATGTTAGGTTTATTATCAATGTGGACCTTGTCTACTATAGCAGTGACTAGATAAGGAGTCCATTGACTTGGATGATGACTGAAATTAAAGCATCTTCATGTTACAAAGGTAGCCTCTTGACCTGACATAAAAGCCTAGTAACTTTTAAAAACTATATGATCAGCATGTATTCATACTTCAGCTGAATTAAGCTACAGCTTGAAATCCCCATTTATTCTTTTACAGATGAATTTTACACATAAATTGTCAGTGTATACTAGACTGTAGTGGACAGGCTAGGGAGGATAGTTGATAGTCATGGAAATTCTGACTATGTCCTAATACATTGTTTTATTTATTGAATACCCATGAAATTTTTTATCTTTTTTGGAGTTTAGTAACCTTACTAGGATCATAATAATTTCGAATCAGTATCTTCTGTGACAAATTGTGCACTTTACAGTTTAAGTCTTTCTTTTAGGCAAGATTGCTTTTGTTACACATTTCTATATATTATTTCTCTTCTATTTCTTTTCCTCATTCCTCCAGGAACATTGATAATATATATTTTTTAGATCACCCTTTTCTGTTATCTATACCAATATTCTTTTCTAAGGTCATTTTATAATTTTTCAAAACTATGATTTCAGGTTTTCAAATTTTATTGAGACTTGTTTATGTATCCCAGAATATTCTGCTATTGTTGGGAGGGAGGTGTGTTCTGTTGCCAATTAGACCAAGTTTATTGATGGCGGTGTTGTTATTTTTTTTTAATCCTTACTTTTTATTTGTTTTATCGATTACTGAGAAAGGACTGTTGAAATCTCCAGTTTGGGAATTTGTCTATTTCTCTTTTCAGTCCTATCATTCAAAAATTTATATATTTTGAAGACCTATGGTGCACACAAACCTAATTAATACTTTTTCTCATTGCTTGAGGTTTCTTTGTATCCTTGGTAATATTCTTAATTCCAAAGTCTACTTCGTTTAATATTAATACATAACTCTCTTTTGATTAGATTTCCTTTTTTCCCCCCACCCCTTTACTCCCTTTCACCCTATCCCTCTTTAACCTATCTTCTTTTTGTTTAAAGTGAGTTTCTTATCGATGGGATATAGTTGGGTTTTAGTGTTTTTTTTTTTTTTTTTTTTAGTGAAATCTGGTCATCTCTCCTTTTACTTGGTATGTTTAAACTTTTTAGATTTAACATTATCCTATTTTGGGATTTAAGTCTGTTATCTTGCTGTTTGTCTTCTAATTGTCCCATTTGTTGTTTGTTTCTTCTTTTTCTAACTTCATTTGGATTGATTCCATTCCTCCTTCACTATACCATTCTTATTCCATTCCATCTTCACATTTGCCATTATTAGCTCTACCTTTTTATTTCATGGCTTTAATTATTCAAGGGTTTAGAGTTTGTATCTTTTACTAATCACAGTTACCTTCAAATAATATTAAATGATGTCACACATTGTATAAAAACCTCATGGCAGTATTCTTCCATTTCCCTCCGCCTGTCCTTTGTTCTATTGGCATCAAAGATTCTACTTTTACATGTTGTGAATCCTGATATATATTATTATGATTTTTGCTTTAAAAAGTTAATTCTTTAATCTTGTTAGAAGATACTGAGAAAGAATATTTCTTTTCTTGAATTCACCCTTGTAAGAATTCCCAATACTCTTCACATTTCTTTTTGTAGAGCCACAAAGTTTTCCATCTGGTATCATGTTCTTTTAGTGTGAATAATTTTCTTTAACATTTTTTGTAGCATAGGTATTCTGGTAAGGGATTCTTTACAGTTGTTGCCTACATTTTTAAAAAGATACTTTTGATTCTAGAGTACCAGGTTTTTTTCCTTTCAACAATTCCATAATGTTATTTCATTGTTTCCTCTTGTTTATGGTTTCAGATGAGAAGTCTGCTTTCATTTTCTTTTTTTCTTTCTTTCTTTTTTTTGAGTTGGAGTCTCACTCTGTTGCCCAGGCTGGAGTGCAATGGCCACCCCAGTATTGACCTGCTGGACTCTGGGCTCTGGCGATCTTTCTCCCTCAACCTTCCAAGTAGCCGGAACTACAGGTGTGAGCTTTCACACCTGGCTAATTTTATATTTGTTATAGAGATAAGGTCTCGCCAAGTTGCCTGGGCTGGTCTCGAACCGCCGGCCCAAGCAATCCATTTGCTTCGGCCCCCCAAAGTGCTGGGATTACGGGCTTAGCCATGGAGCCCGGCCTTTCATTTTCATCTTTGTTTCTTTGTATGTAAAGTATTTTTCTACTCTCTGCCTGCTTTTAAGACTTTTCTGTATAACACTAGTTTTCAGTAATTTGCTAACAATGTATTTTGGTATGTTTTACAATGTCTTCTGCTTGGGGTTTATTGAACTTCTTAGATCTTTAGGTTTATGATTTTCTTCAAATACAGAAAAATTGGGGACATTATTTATTTAAATTTTTTTTGGGTCTTTTGAGATTGCTTGATAATGTCCCACATCTCATTAAAGCTTTGTTCAATTATTTCAGTCTTTTTTCCTTCCCCCTCAGAGACTTAGAAAATGCATCTCAGACTTGTCAGCCAGTAGAAGAAAAGGGGAAGCATTTATTCCTACATTTCCTTGTTCTGCATTCGTGAATGCAAAGTAGTCTCTAGTGGTATTTTACCCTGCAGTGTGACTTTGGGCAATGCCAGTAGAAATCTGCATTGAATTGGTCTCTATAGCTTTGGTTAGAGTAAGAGTTAGGATGAAAAGCTTTTGAGGTGATAGATAAGAGATGTCCAACACTCTCTAAGGCTGGCTATGGTTGAGAAAATGATAAATGATGGAGATTTATGGGGCTGAGCAAAGAACAGGGTGACTGAGTCTACTGTAATAGCATCCTAATATGTTTTTTCATTTATTTATTCCTTTATTTTTTGTATATTTATTGACCTTCAATAGCAACTTACTGCTCACAGACATATTTAAATGTTTCCTTCTTTTAGGCTTTGTTAGTTGGGAAGTGTAATTATATACTACACTTTATTCATAGACAAAACCAGATGAATATGACGTCAATGAATTAAATATTCCAGATCAGAATTTTTTAAGATAATTTTTCATGTTGCTATCATATAGAGTCCTGGGAATTATTTGTATACTTTGTAAATAATTGTGAGAGTAAGTATTGGATAAAGGGCTTTGGATCCGATCACCTGGATTTAAATTGCAATTTTTCTTCTGTCTAGTAGTATGACATTTGATACCTTAGTTTATCTGGTGTGTCTTGGTTTTTCCATCTGAAAAATGAGTATAATGATAGTACCTCCCTCATAGGGTTTATATGACAGGATTCAATGAGTTAAAAATATAAGACATTTGAACAATGCAGATATGCTAGTAAATTTTTTGTATTAACTAGTATTTTCATTGTTACTTTTGGTGATTGACTCAATTGAAAAATTATAATTGTTTGAGTAGAAGATATGTGTGTGAATATGTGTATATGGTCGTTATTTTAGTTTGTATTTTTATTTTTATTTTTATTTTTGAGTTGGCGTCTCACTTTGTTACCCAGACTGGAGTGCGGTGGCCGCTCCCGGCCACTGCAGCCTCAACCTGCTGGGCTCCAGCGATCCTTCTACTTCATCCTTCCAAGTAGCTGGAACTTCAGCTGCAAGCTACCACGCCCCGCTAATTTTTGATTTATAATAGAGATGAGGTCTTGCCAAGTTGCCCAGGCGGGTCTTGAACCCGCGGGCTCAGGCAATCCACTCACCTCAGCCTCCCAGAGCTGAGCCTGGCTTTCAGTTTGTGTTTTTATATTTCATTGTTATTTTAAGAGTTTCTGCCAGGTGTGGTGGCTTGCGCCTGTACTCCCAGATTTGGGGAGGCCTAGGTGGGAGGATTACTTGAGTCCAGGAGTTGGAGACCAGACTAGGCAACATGGTGAGAACCTGTCTCTACAAAAAGTAAAAAAAATAATTGGGCATGGTGCCGCATGCCTGTAGACATAGCTACTTGGGAGCCTAAGGCAGAAGGATTGCCTGCCGGAGCCCAGGAAGTTGAGACTCTGTTGAGGGATGATCATACCCCTGTACACCAGCCTGGGCGAGTGAGATTTTGACTCAAAAGAAAAACAAAACAAAAAAGAGTTTCTGAAATAGTGAAAGTTAGCAGAATTGCTCATCTATTTTATTTTATTGTTTTTAAATATTTAGAATGTATATCCCTTCTTTCCATTCAGTCTTTTAGTATGTTGTTTGTAATACTGTATTTGCATTCTTCCATTTTCATCTGCAGGACCAAAAGATCTCAGATTGCTGTAACTGAAGGTATGTTTGAGCTTCCAAATCTCACAATTCAAGCTACAAGAGCACAGACACTTCTGCTACAAGCAATATATCAAAGTTGGTCTCATATTGGAAATGTTAGCTCTTCAGCAGTGAATGAAGCTCTGATGAACGAAGTCTTCCAAACTAGAGGTAAGAGTGTAATCTTCTTGACAAGCATGTGAAACATTTGTATTAGAGGTGACTAATATTTTATTATTCAAATCCATATGTCTAATATGCTCAATTTAAATTATAGTATATTTCTATGAATGTGGCCATTTATAGCTTATGTTAAAAATTCAGGTTGAGTTAAGCATCTAGTTTTGTTTCTTGGCACTAATTTCTGCGTGTGTTGCAAGAGATTAATTTTTGCCAGCTCTTTGTATAATTTACAGCCTCATATGGATAATTGCTGAGGTCATCAGTGTATATGTTGGAAATGATAGCAAATCAAGTATAAGTACAATATGATATTTGATTATGCTGGTAAAGTGAAATTCTTGCTTGTTATACTAGGTAATATTTGTTAAGCAGATTTTCCTTTTTGTGTAAAAGGCATTAAGCTTACACCCTGAATGAGTTAACTACAAAAAAAGTTCTTTGATGTCGGTATAAGAGATACGTTTATGTTTTCACACATTTTGTATATAAATAAAAAAATTATAGACACCTTGCTTTTGTTAATTTTTTTAGTCAAAATTACAGTGTTACATTTGTCAGTCACATAGTTGTATTTAAAGAAGGATATATATGTTTTCTTTTTTCTTTCAATTTAAACCCCCTCCCCCAGCCCTAAAGGAGGAGTTTGTTTATTTGTTTGTTTGTTTTTGAGTTGGAGTCTCATCCCCAGGCTGGAGTGCAGTGACACACTCACAGCCATCCCAGCGTCGACCTGCTGGACTCTGGCAATTTTTCTGCCTCAGCCTTCCAATTAGCTGGAACTACAGGTTCATGTTACCATGCCTAGCTATTTTTTTTATTTATTGTAGAGATGAGGTATCACCAAGTTGCCCAGGCTGGTCTCGAACCTGCAGGCTCAGGCAATCCATTTGCCTAGGCCTCCCAAAGTGCTGGGATTAAAGGCTGAGCCACCGAGCTCGGTCAGAAGGATAAATTTTTAAGTGCAGTAATAACATTATCTTTTTGTTATCTGCTAAAATAAAATCTTTTTTGTTCTTTTATGATACTTTTAAGGATTTTAGTTTTACACCTTACATTATAACTAGACTCTTCTGATTTGGTCTAGCCAGTAACTAGTATAAAATACAGATTGACTATCCCTTATCCAAAATGCTTGGTATTAGAAGTTACTCCGTAAGATTTCAGACTTTTTTCAGACTTGGAATGTTTTTTATATATAATGAGATACCTTGGAGATGTAATGCAAATCTAAACACAGAATTCACTTATATTTTATATGCCAACTTGTGCACATAGCCTGAGGTAATTTTATACAATATTTTAAATAATTTTGTGTGACTTGTTACATGAGGTCAGATGTGGAAATTTCTGCTTGTGATATGTCAGTGCTTAAAAATTTTTTAATTTTGGAGTATTTCATCTCTTGGGTTTTCAGACTAGGATGCTCAACTTTTGGTTGTTTTGCTGCCGGGTTTTAGGATTATATAAAGAATGACAAGACGAATGTTGCATTAGGCTGAAGGTTCTTCACTTGGAGCCTATGAAATGATTTGAGTTCTTGAAATTCCTTGAAGTGGTTTGCAAATTTTAGTGTGTGTATAAACATGCACACACATATACATATTCTCTTTTTGAATTGATTATTTTATTAAATGTAGTGAATGCCTCAGTCTTTTTTTTTTTTTTTTTTTTTGAGTTGGAGTCTCACTCTGTCGCCCAGACTGGAGTGCAGTGGCCGCTCCCGGCCACCGCAGCCTCTACCTGCTGGGCTCCGGTGATCCTTCTGCCTCAGCCTTCCGAGTAGCCGGAATTACAGGCACGCACTACCACGCCCGGCTGATATTTTATTTATTGTAGAGATGAGGTCTCGCTGCCCAGGCGGGTCTGGAACCCCGCGGGCTCAGGCAATCCACTCACCTCAGCCTCCCAAAGGCGCGGGATTACAGACTGAGCCACCGAGCCCAGTGCCTCAGTCTTTTTTGAGTCATATCTTCTACTTTTAAAATATTATCATAGTTATGACTAGCATTCTTTTAGTTGATATTAACTAGTACTTTCTCTTTTATTTAAAACCTGTCCACTTTTATGCTTTATGTAAATGTTTTAAAATATAACTGGATTTTTAATCAAGTTTTAAATGTACCTTTTGGCGTATAAATTTAATCTACTTACACTGTTGATCCTTGAACATCACGTATTTGAACTAGGCAGGTCTACTTATATGTCGATTGTTTTCAACCAAATGCAACTCAGAAATACAGTATTCATGGGACATGAGACCTATGTATACTGAGGGTTGACTTTTCATGTACGTGGGTTCAGCAGAGCCTGCTATGAGACTTCAGTATGTGTTGATTTGGCCATACTCAGGCATCCCAGAACCTGTTTCAAGTCACCCTTCAGTATATGCCTCCCAAAATTAAAAATATGCCTAAACAAAATCTTTTACATACATATTCATAGCATTATTCATAATAGTCAAAAGTAAGAACAACAGAATGCCTGTCAACTGATGAAAGGTTAAACTATGAAATCTCTGTACAATGAAATATTATTCAGACATTAAAAGGAATTAAATTCTGATAATGCTACAATATGGATGAACCTTGGAAACAGTATACTGGGTGGAAGAAGCCAGACACTAAAAGTACATATTATGATTTATTTATATGAAATACCTTGACTCAGCAAACCCATACCAAAAGATTAATGGTTGCCTGACAGGAGCTAAGGAAAAGGAGGAATCAGAATTAACTGCTAATATTCCCTCCTTCCCTTCCTCCCTTCCTCCTTCCCTCCCTTCCCTCTCGAAGAGGTAAAATTTTAATTTTATTAAACAAAGTACATAATTTGAGAAAACAATGTAGATAATACTATGAAAAGCTTTGATGTTAATTCTATATTGAAAAAGCACACATGAACACACACACATTTTATAAAATTTAGTTATATTCTGTTAAAAAAATTACTAACAAATGGATTAAGTTCATGAATAAATGTAGTACTTAGGTTATTTTTACTGTTCAGATAATTGGTACAATGAAATGTATTTGCTTTAATATATAAGGGTTTTTATTTTTTAAAGAAATGTTGAAAATATTTTTTGAAAAGGACTTTTTGATGGGTACACCAGTATATTGATCAATAAATTTGTCAATTTACATAATTTTAATTATTTTTAGTGTACTTTTCAAATTTGGATCTCAAATAAAATTTTATGGTCACTCTAAATATGCTTAAAACCATAGTCCACATGCAAAGCTGCAATATGATTGTTTTAGTTTTCTTTTGCTGTGTATCAGATTACCACAAACTAAGCAACTTACAACACACAAGAAACAAATTTTAATTTAGTATTTTAAATTGACATATCATAACTATATAATTATGGGATCTAATGTGATGTGTTGATAACATGTATGCAGTATGGAATGATTAAATGAAGTAACATATTGACCTCATGCTCTGGCATTTTGATAGGGATTGCATTGAATTCATAGATTGTTTTGGACAGTATGAACACTTTAACATTAGTTCTTCTAGGCCTTTAACACAGAATATCTTTTCATTTATTTGTGTTTTCTTCATTTTCTTTCATTAGTGTTTTATATTTTTCAGTATACAGATCTTTCATCTCCTTGGTTAAAGTTATACCTTAAGTTGTTTTGATTCTTGTTACTATTGTAGATGAGATTGTTTTCGTAATTTCTTTTTGGATAGTTTGCTGTTAGTACATAGAAATGGTACTGACTTTTTTAATGTTGATTTTGAATCCTGCAACTTTACTAAATTTGTCAGTACTAACAATGTTTTGGTGGAGTCCTTGAGGATTTCCAAATAAGGGGATGTCCCCCAAAGAAAGGGAATTATCTTTTGGAGGTCGAGCCCCTTGTAATACGGGCTTCCCCTGCTAGGTTAAGTGTTCTAGAAACCCATCGGGATCAGTGTACCAGCTAGTATTGTTGTAAGAGGCTGCATTTGGCTTCAATGAAATTTTTTTTTGGAGATTCTTTCACTGTGTTTGCTTATTTCCTGATGGGTGATTTATGAACACACCTTCCCATACTACACTGAGTGTTCAGCAGTTTTTGACCAAAAATGGGAAGGCCCTTATGGCCCACGCTCCCTATTCACTGGTCTCACCCTGAGCAACTTTTTTCATCCCTTTCTCTGGATGAAAAATCCTCAAAGGGAGATGTTTGTCCAATGTGGAAGAGGTAAAACAAAACAAAAAATAGCAGGAACACTAAAAGACATCAAACTGGATGAGTTCAAAAACTGTTTTGAGCAGTAGAACAAGTGCCTTGATAGGTATGTTGCATCAGACAGAGAGTACTTTGAAGATGATTGAAGTTTAAACTTGTAAGAGTAAATACACAGTTTTTTATAAGTAAATTTTGGGTCCCCCTTGTAGAAGATCATATTGTCAGATAACAGAGACACTTTCGCTTCATTATTTCCTATTAGAATGTCTTTTATTTCATTCTGTTGTCTAATAGTACTAGGACTTCCAGTACTATGTTGAAAAGAGATGATAAGTGTGGGCATTCTTGACTTGCCCCTGATCCTAGAAGAAAAGATTTCAACTTTTCACCTTTGTGTATGATGTCAGCTGTGAGCTTGTCCCTTATGTCCTTTATTGTGTTGAGGTACATTTCTTCTATAGCTAATCTGTTGATAATTTTCATCATGAAAAGATGCTGAATTTTGTCACATGCTTTTGTGCATCAATTGAGGCGAACATATGGTTTTTGTCCTTCTTTTGGTTAATGTGATGTATCGTATTTATTGGCCTGCATTTGCTGAACCATCCTTGCATCCCAGTAATAAATCTCACTTTATCATGTTAAAAGACTCTTTTCATATTTGTTAAATTTGGTTTGTTAGTATTGTGTTGGAAATTTTTATATTTGTGTTCATCAGAAATATTGATTTATAAGCTTCTTTTTTTTTTTTGTAGTGTCCTTGTCTGGTTTTGGTATTAGGGTAATAGATGCATATATTTTTCT